TTTAAAAAAATTTGACTCTTCAAAATCTTGGTGCATCTTATACTCCGAAAAATACGACACCTAAAAATGGAACCTATTTTATATAGAAATCTAGGTTCTGCAACCATTATAGTATTTTCTAAAATTATGCTGGCACCTATTGCCCTTCAATTCAATATTAAGTGAAATAAAGCAAATGTTCAGTTGACTATGATACTCCCATTTATTAATTTGAGGAAAATAAAAAAAAATCTGTAAAATTGATACTCAGGAAGTGATTGTATTTTATTATACATTTTGTACATAAAATTGTAAATTGTACAGATCTAAACACTTGAGCAAAACTCATGTCATTTTTCTAATTTACATAAAAGCTAATTTTCTTCAATTACATCTGTCTTTTCTTGTTAAATGATTTTGCATATGTATATTGTATCTCATATCATGTATGACTTTTATAACTTTTCTGCAGTATTATGAAGTGGGATTCTGGGCGATTTACACATAAAAATATAAAAACACAATATATTCCAAGTTCAGTAAAATGGAAGCCAAGTAAAAAAAAAGATTAAAAAAAGTTAAAAATAAAAAGGCAGTAGGAGTGTCTTCAAGATGCTAAGCATGCCTAGAATTGCATGCCTCACATGAGCTAGAAGTCAGGAGAGTGCGGGCCCTCTGCCTCTGGAGGAAAGATGTTCCATACAGTGAAGGCAATGGCAGAGAAGGTTTCCTTCCTGGATCCCCCAGTCAAAATTCTTTAACTGACAAGGTCTCTTAACATCCCTTCCCTGCCTGCCTGGATGGGATGGATTCATGTGATGAGGGTAGGACGGTTCCTCAGATGACCTGACCACATGTCCTGTAGGGCTTTAATGGTAATAATAAACACCTTCAATTGGACCCAGAAGCAAATCGGCACCCAATGCAGTTCACATATCAAACGTGCTACATGCCCTATCCTTGAGGAGCCCAAAATTGCTCAGATGGGCCACATTCTACACCAGCGGTTGCCCCATGTACAGCACATTGTACAGCACATTGAAACAGTCCATATGGGAGATGAACAAGGCATAAGTGACCAAGTCAAGGCCTCACATTCTAAGGAGCATAACTGAAGCACAGCAAAGAGTTGAGCAAAGGTCTGTCTAGCCACAATTGCCACCTGCTCTTTAAGCAGAGGTCAGGTGCAGGATGACTGCACTGTCATCCTGGATTCAATTGTGCACTGTGCCTGTCTAGGCAGTGCAACCCCATCTGAGGCCAAGTATGATAAACCCCTGGATACAGACAACACCCCCCCCCATAGTCACTCCATCTTAACCAGGATTCAGCTGAAACCTATTCTACCCTATACAGACCCCCACAACCTCCAGACAGGTTTCCACAATGATTTTAAGTGCGAGGACCAGCCATAAGTCACTTTTTACAAAGTTACCTTGTAACTTTGAATGGTCACTAAATGAATGGATGAACTAGCTGAATGGTTTCTGGGTCAACCTGTTGCACAACTCAATCACAGTCATTCCCAAAGCAAAGCAAACTTTGGGAAACATTTGTTTTCACTAGGGGAGGCATAAGGAAGCAAGCCTCCACAATGACAGGGTGCAAGTACCTACAGGCAATAAGGTCAATGGGGACGAATGGGAGTAGCCAGGATTATCGTCATCTCTCTGAAATTGCTAGTCACAAAACAACAGGAGGCACAATGCAGCCTGGGATTTGGGTGGTTAAGATTATGCACTGTTTACAGTCAAGGATTTGCTATCTAGAACTGTAATTTATTTTCAAAACTCATTTCAAAACTGGACCCTTTCCTTAACAAGATCAGTGTTCTGGTTTTTTTATTTTATTTTTTCAAGATTCCCATATTCCATAAAGGACAGGGGATTTATCAAAGCTAGATAGAAAAGGAAACATAAACTTTGGTGATTTCTCAATAGACTGCTGAAGGCATCAATGGAAAAGGGGACTATAGCTATTGTCAAACACAAATAAAATGTAGAACATCAAGAGTTGTTGATGTTAAACATTCCTGAACATTAATAAACTCCTGCTCCAATCACACAATATAGTGGCAGAATAGTTAATGCCAAGTTATTTTTTCCTATATTAGTAAGTGCAAAATATTTTAGCATTTGTATGACATAACAACCTGTGTTTCCTCCAAAATATGACCTACTCAGAAAGTAAGTCCAAGCTTGATTTTTATACCTGTGCCTAATATAAGTACTACCCTCAGAATAAGTCCTAATTAAGACCCCGCCCACTCCAGGGTGCACCAGTAAAAATTAAGCTAGGGTTGGGATGGGGTGGTGGTGGAGCTGCCATACTACTTACCTTCGGATAGTTGCAGTCAGGCCTTGCACACCTTGGCCCATTTCTTCTGCAGAAGGCATCTGTACCCAATAACAGAGTTCCGGATAGATCTGGAGCTCTGTTATTGGCTACAGAGATTTTCAGAAAAGCCTTGCTGGCTGCAACTATCTGAAGCCGACGAAGTTCCTGAAGGCTGCTGACAGCGAAAAGGAGGCCGAGGGGGGGGGGGGATGATACATGCAAGTGAGGGGAGTCAGTGGACAACATCCCTCCCCCCAAAATAAGACCTGGTGCCTTTTTTGGTGGGAAAAAATTATAAGACAGGCCTTATTTTTGGGAAAACATGGAAGTTATAGTAAACTAGCAGGCAAAATGTTGCAAGACTAAAATAGCTGTGTAAGCTATTTAAGATGTACATGTAGGTGCACAAAAGCCAATTGTCTTAGCATAGATGCTATCTGAAAGCACTGGTTACTTTTTTAACATCAATTTATTTTATTCAAAACATTAAAATATAATCTCTCCAAAAAGAAAAAAAAATACAAATACAAAACTCCACAAAAAACCCAAACCTTGCTGAATACTGATAACTATATTTCAAAGATAGTAACATTTCCCACCACGAAGCAGGCACACAGTTTATAAGTTTCTACCACACTGTTTACCCTACTCACTTAATCTGACAACTATCTATTATATGGAACCATACTTAACAGCTAAAATCAACGGCTAAATTAAACTTCAAAAAAAAACAACCCATTAAGAGTCTATTTATTGTATTTCACTTGCAGAAAGTCGACAACGGCTTCTGGTCTACTTTAAGTCGTGATGATAGTTGTCTCTGGTCCATCCAGGATCAAATAGCCTTGACTAGTTCTTAATAATAAAGCTTTTCCTTAAACTATTAATTGAGATCTTTCCTAACAATTGGATTTTATTCTCCAAAGTCATAAGACTCTGTTTTGTACCATCTCCACAGCATTTGTTGCACCAAAACATCTCCTGCAAGTTGTTACATCGCAACTCTTAACATTAGTTTCCAATTGGGTATAATCCATTCCCAAATCTGCCTCAATCTTCTTGAAAAAGTTGAGTTCATCACTGGTCAATTCTGTCAATGTTGAGTCTTTAAAACCCATATCTTTCTTGGAGCCCTCTAACCAACTTGTATTTTCCAAGTCAATCTCATCTTTCAGATCTGCCAGCAGCAAATTACATTCCAATCCTTCTAGTTGTAAATCTTGTTGTAGTGCTGCTACTTACATCTGATTACCAACTTCAAGTTGATTTAAAACCATCATTATTTTATGAAGTTTCTTATCCAAATTTTCCAGTTGGACTGTTTGAAGTTACAATGGCACTGAAAAAAGTGACATGACCGTTTTTCACACTTACAACTGTTACAGAATCTCCACAGTCATGTGACCAAAATTCAGACATTTGGCACCTGACTCATATTTATGACAATTGCAGTGTCTTGGGTCATCTTTTGGAATTTTCTGACAAGCTAAATCGAATGGGAAGCCAGACTCTCTTAACAACCGTGTTACTCACTCTAACAACTGCAGTGATTCACTAAACAGGTCTGGCAAGAAAGATTGTAAATGGGACAAAACTCACTTAACAGCTATCTTACTTAGCAACAGAAATTTTGGGTTCAATTGTGATCATAAGTCAAGAACTACCTGTAGAAACTCTC